AACGGTCTCGATTAATTATGCAATTCCCGGATTGTTTGCGAGCGCTGAACGCTTCCTCGATAAAAGCCAAAACGTGTATGAATACACTCTAGATTTCCTGTCCCCGCCCTTCCCCGACACAATTAATTATTATTATTACATACGTCAAAATACAATGTACTGTTGGGGAAGACGGGTTCCTGCTGAGGAACCAATCCCGCGTTAATTAGTAATTATGCCCTGTTGCTAGGGGGCCATGTGGACTATGTCCAGCACTAATATTGAAGTCATGACGCTAATGACCTCACCCGCGTTCTCGAGTTCCCTCTTGAAAGTTTCAACCTTTCTTCAAGCAATATTTCGTTAATGTGAAGGAAGAAATTGGCTAATGTAAAATAGCTTTAATAGCTGCAGGTAGTTTCTAGTAAGCTTTTACCTCCTCGATAATTACACTAGTAACTATATCTAGTACTAGTGTAATTATGTTGTTATCGTACTGTGATTTGTGTAAGCATGCTGCCTTCTCACTAATGCCAATCTATTAAATTTTAACAGATGGCGTGAGAATTGTCGTTTGGGTCGCTTGGCGGTGAGTACGCCGAGTCACAGGGTCTTCTTTCAGATGAAGTTCTTTTGTTTATTAACAAACTAACACACAAAGCACTATGCCGTTGTCCTAGTCTATGTGAGGGCTACGAAGTGTAGGTCAAGACTCAAGAGGCTAGCTGTAAGTGAATCAACTCACTAGCCTAAACTTTGACACTTCGAGGGTAAACTATATGAATATATCCTAGTACCCGTGAGTGGCCCTGACCGCAGGAATAACAGTGGTGAATTACGTGGATTTTACCCCGTGTCTCATTTTGGAGGGATGTACCTCAGGAGGAGTTTATCTTCATGACACAACGCAGGTGTGAGTCACTACGTCGGTAGCGGTTGGGACCTTCGCTAGCTGCGTCATGGTATTTTTGGCTGCGTCCTCTGGTTTCCTGAAGACGGTGAACCGTTGGTCGAGGACGGGGAAGCGGGTTTCCAGGAATGGCACAGCCCGCAGTTGTCAGCGATCGTGTAGAAATTACTGCCATCATATGGCCATTATATAGCAAATTTTGGGGCTCTCTTTATGGGATCGTTGTTACCATAAAGTTTATATTTACTATTTCGTATGTAATAGTAAAGAGGATATATCTGCATATATAAAGGAGAATGTATGTTTAAGGTTGAAGGTCAGCCGCTTGGGGATAGCCTCACTAAACTTTGCAGGATGACTGTTGGGTGTAAGGGGACGATCATAAGTGGGGGAAGTCGACGTCATGGGGGGAAGTCAGCCCCCCCATGACGTCCATTGATGCCAAACTCCATCCTCGTTAAATACCAAACTACATTTCCACTCAAATTCGTCCAGCAAATTATTATTTTTTTAAATAATTATTTGTTGGGAGCCTCCAGAATCAAGAGAAACCTTGCCACAACAGCACAGGTTTACTTAACCCCTTACAAGGGCCATAAATACGCGTGCTTGATAAGATAATGCATTATTTTAAGTTGTTCGTCTTTTGTAGCTTACTGATGAAGATAGTGTGTGTGTAGTGAAGATAGTTGCAGTGATGAAGGTTGAATGTAGGGAAGATATGGCTCTCAGAAAATGTATTATGCAGAAGGCCTCTTCCCCCCCCTCTCCCTACCTGTCTCCCTTCTTCCCCTACCTCTCCCCTTCTCTCAGAAAATATATTCTTAAGAAACTGCATGGGTATGCGTCAGACTCTATGGACATGTTCCCGATTTCATCTCGGATTCATTTCAGACTTAATGAAAATCTTTCGGGGAGTTAAGAAACATATCGTGTGTTACACGATGTTTCTTAAAGGATTTAACTTAGACTTTACCTCCCCCCCCCCCAACCAGTCTACGTCAGTCCTGTACCCCACATCACTCATGCAAATTTCGGCGAGTCTAGAACCAAGCGTTTCTGGCCAACAACTTTGGAGAGAGACAGACAAACAGACATTCTCACTTATAGTACAGATAAAGTGTGGGAAATCGACTTGAGAATGGTCCAGGATGGACCGAAACGTCGTCGTCCCTTCACCTTCTAGTGTGTGGTCTGGTCAACTTACTTTAGCCACGTTATTGTGACTCATCGCCTGCATGTAGGAAATGTATATTTATGCGCCAGTTACAGCCCCGCTCCTGCGCCAGGTAAGTCCACTACGGACTCACCACAGCCCGTGCTACTTGCCCCGCTCCTGCGCCAGGTAAGTCCACTACGGACTCACCACAGCCCGTGCTACTTGCCCCGCTCCTGTGCCAGGTAAGTCCACTTCGGGCTCATCATAACCCCGGGCTACTTTAGCTGAAATCAAAACAACAACAACCACGTATATTTATGAATATCTAAATACCCACATTCATATTTGTAAAAGCAATTACACTAAGAAATGCTCTGGCCCTGAGGCCGGACGCCTGCTCAGGAAACAAGGAGGTATTTGCTCTTTGGATCCCAATTCCGAGGCGATGGAACAGGAAATTGGCCGCTAGGTGATCGTCAGGCCTTTTTATTTTTTTCCAAGAGACGAAGGTCGCTGAGTTAATTGGTAGAAAGCTGTAGCGGTGAGTGATAAGCTTGTATCCTAATCTCCCTGTGGATTTCTAGCCTCAGATATGCCCGAATATCTAAAGCCTAATTCATCCAATTTTAAATTGATTTGTCTCGATACGTAAATTAGATTTTATAATTATTAATTCTATTGTCTTTTGTCCCTTATTAGCGGTAATTTCTGGTAGTTCTGAATGTCTCGGATGATTAGTGAGTAAGTGGGTCGTCAGCTCGCATCTTCTCGACCTCTCTCATGCACGTTAATCCAGCCCTGTCCTCATGCACGTTAATCCAGCCCTGTCCTCATGCACGTTAATCCAGCACCGTCCTCACGAACGTTAATCCAGTGCGCCGTCCTCAGGTTATGGGCTTCTAAGTCTACCTTTGGACCCAAAGACATTTTCGTCAATTTTTTTTTAACTGGGTAATCAAATGCAGGATTTTCTTAAATATATATTATTAGTATAATTTAAAAACATATTTTTTGTTTATGGTTAGATTAAGTTATGTTAGGTATTGCTGGTAATTATGCATATTTTCAGTAAGTGGGTGAACGACTTGTTCTCAGGCCAGGCTCGTTAAAGCGGCGGCCGTCCCCCAAGACGCATTCATCAATTTTAACGTGCTGAGTAATAAAACTAGGGTTTATTCTCATATATAAATTAATATTATTATGCATTAAACATTATACACTTCAGAGGTGTATAGGTTAAGTTAAGTAAGGTGTAGGTTAAGTTTTTAAGATTCTCTTGACGATTATTTGTAGTTGTCAACCCGTCCTCAACTCAAGTCCATTCCATCCAGCGGTCGACCCCACAGACGCATTCATAAATTTTAACATGATGTTCATTCAAAACGGGAATTTTCTCAAATGTAAATTAATATTTTAATATATTAGCATATTGTGCATATATAAACATAGGTTAGGTTAGGTGTTTAGGTTCTGTTGGCGATTATTTGTATTTATAGTACGTGGGTGAAGCATTTACAGGGTTGTGATTCGAACAAACTTCGTCAGTGAAGCACTTGTTCCGGAAGTGTTCGAACGTCAGCAGTTGTGAGTCGTGTATAAACCGTTTTTCATTCATAAACAGGGGGTTTGGCGGGTGCATGGAATCACTTTTGGATCTTTGTTTGGAGGACGGGCCGGTAGTTGTACGTGGGTACAAGAATTTTCAGGGTTGGGATTTGAGCAGAGGCGATCAGAACAGAACGCGATCCGGCGGCTCCCAGGCGGAGGAGGTGCCCGGACGTCCGCTTGTCGTCAAGTGCCCACCTAGAACTGTACTCCACTTGTGGGTGTTTATACACGGGCAGTTTTATATAGTTCTGGGCTATATTAAGGACTAAAGTATTCTTGCTGGTTGAGCAGTTCTTGCTGCTGTTGTTGCCTCATATGACCTTGCGCAGATTGATGGACGTTAAGCCGAACCGAACTGTTCCGTGGACGGAATTGCTTTCTCAAGAACACCTAATTTCGTATATTATTGTTCTACCCCAAAAACACCGTGACAAAATGAGCGTAAGCAAGTTCTAATTGGTTAACAAAGGACTAAATCTCGATGCTTTCTATGTGGAAGAAACCTGCAAAATGATGAGTAATTGGCATGTGGAATTGGCAATTACGTCAGTGTGAATAGGCAAGGCGCTATTGATATATAAGCAAGTGTGAAAATGCTTTCCACACTTAGAAGTGCAGAAGGACGACTCAAGACTGGTCAAAGGCAAGAACTCGCTGCTTCTGCAAACATTAAAAGGTACAGTCAAATTTAAATAATTCAACTTCACTTTTGAGGCTATACAACTGTTTTGTATGTATATATAAGTGTATATATATGTATATATAAGTGTATATATATATGTATATATAAGTGTAATAAATACATGGGGCAGGCTTCAGATGAGCTGAGGTAGGATAACAGCTCTTGCTTGCAGTTTCACCAGGCACCTCAATTGACAGTCGTAATAAACCCTAGTCTTAGTTTAAAAAAAAATATAGACATGATGCATACTAGAGGAGCCGCAGAAGTCCACCTGTAGGAACGTCATTCGCCACCTCACACTTCTCAGGTCAAGCCTTCCCACATATCTAAGGCTTCCCCTTGCGATAGCGCTTCGGATTCGTAGTTCTGAGGTTGCGGGTTCGATCCCCGGTGGAGGCGGAGACAAATAGACAAAATGTTTCTTTCACCCTGATACCCCTATCCACCTAGCAGTAAATAGGTACTTGGGAGTTAGACAGCTGCTACAGGCTGCTTCCTGAGGGGGGGGGGGGTTAACAAAAAGAAGGCCCTGGTCGAGGACCGGGCCGCGGGGACGCTAAACCCCGAAATCATCTCAAGATTTGAAGATATCTTGTATATTAACACAACTTAAAACTAAAAGGCCAATTGGCCCATACGAAGTCGCTCAGATTTATATATACCTGAATTACGAAGGCGGGTAAGGATCGGGTCCGAATATTGCTTATTGAGTGTTCGGACTGGCTCGCTACACTACTCCAGTACACTACACCACTACACCACACTCCTCTCCACTACACCAAGCTGTGGTAGTGAGGAGAGATCGCGGCGCAGCGGAAGGCTGGCTGGCTGTTAACAGGTGGTTTAGATTAGATAGTGTCGAGTCACGCATGTTTGTAGGTATCTTGGTTCTAATTTTCATTTTTTTTTAATTATTTATATACACAAGAGTTCTTTTATTCTTGTACAGCCGCTAGCACGCATAGCATTTCGGGCAGAGGTCTTTAATCCTAATTTTTTTTCCCCGGAATACGACCCGTCAAATCGTTCAACAACCGGGTACCCAATCACTGCTGGGTGAACAGAGGCGTACACTTAAGGATTGGCGCCCAGTCAATCCTCGTTTCCTTAACCAGAAACATACGAACAGAAGCAACCCACTTTACCTACCCCAGCAACACTTGAGTACACATTACAACGATCAACTACATTTGTCCTCTACAGCAACACTAGAGTACAGCTGGTCCTCTACAGCAACACTAGAGTACAGCTGGTCCTCTACAGCAACACAAAACTAACAGCTGATCCTCTACAGCAACACAAGACTACAGCTGGTCCTCTACAGCAACACAAGACTACAGCTGGTCCTCTACAGCAACACAAGACTACAGCTGGTCCTCTACAGCAACACAAGACTACAGCTGGTCCTCTACAGCAACACACACAGACTACAGCTGGTCCTCTACAGCAACATAAGACTAACAGCTGGTCCTCTACAGCAACACAAGACTACAGCTGGTCCTCTACAGCAACACAAGACTACAGCTGGTCCTCTACAGCAACACAAGACTACAGCTGGTCCTCTACAGCAACACAAGACTACAGCTGGTCCTCTACAGCAACACAAGACTACAGCTGGTCCTCTACAGCAACACAAGACTACAGCTGGTCCTCTACAGCAACACAAGACTACAGCTGGTCCTCTACAGCAACACAAGACTACAGCTGGTCCTCTACAGCAACACAAGACTACAGCTGGTCCTCTACAGCAACACAAGACTACAGCTGGTCCTCTACAGCAACACAAGACTACAGCTGGTCCTCTACAGCAACATAAGACTAACAGCTGGTCCTCTACAACAACACAAGACTACAGCTGGTCCTCTACAGCAACACTAGAGTACAGCTGGTACTCTACAGCAACACTAGAGTACAGCTGGTCCTCTACAGCAACACAAGACTACAGCTGGTCCTCTACAGCAACACTAGAGTACAGCTGGTCCTCTACAGCAACACTAGACTACAGCTGGTCCTCTACAGCAACACAAGACTACAGCTGGTCCTCTACAGCAACATAAGACTAACAGCTGGTCCTCTACAACAACACAAGACTACAGCTGGTCCTCTACAGCAACACTAGAGTACAGCTGGTCCTCTACAGCAACACTAGAGTACAGCTGGTCCTCTACAGCAACACAAGACTACAGCTGGTCCTCTACAGCAACACTAGAGTACAGCTGGTCCTCTACAGCAACACTAGAGTACAGCTGGTCCTCTACAGCAACACAAGACTACAGCTGGTCCTCTACAGCAACACTAGAGTACAGCTGGTCCTCTACAGCAACACTAGACTACAGCTGGTCCTCTACAGCAACACAAGACTACAGCTGGTCCTCTACAGCAACACTAGACTACAGCTGGTCCTCTACAGCAACACTAGAGTACAGCTGGTCCTCTACAGCAACACAAGTAACATGCTCTGTAAGCAACACACTTTTCAGAGCTCCAATATTACTTATGAAGTACAAGATTAAGGAAATAATAAAGTTCTTAAGAGTAAAAGATACATAAGAGCCACTATCTCCGTACGTTAGAATGGCGACTTTTAAAAATATATAAAACCACCGTAATATTGACGCTTTCAATGTGTATCGGCTTTGATAAGTTGGAAGATGGACTGTTTGTGTTCATACGCTAGGTGAACAGTTAAAGGTTGGCGCCCAGTTAATCCTGCCTTGGCAGGGTTCGAACCCAAGACAAGTTGCCACTAAATGCCTGCAAAGACTTAATTTGTAATTAGCGGTTTCAGGACAACGGCTAAGGTCAGTAAGTTTTTGTTATCCGGACTGATGTAGTGGAGCGGCCGCTGCTGCCGTCAAGAGGGACCCATGTTCTTGGAAAAGCTGTCGGTCGTCCGGTTACAGGAGTAACTGTGTTGACAGACTGTCTCCGTGGCCGCTATCAGTGACGTGGCCAACACCATCATTCTCCCAGTGATATCTGTCATAGTACGGTGCTCACGGTACTTGACATATGGTACACGGTACATGACTCGCGGTACACTGTACAGAAAATATATGGTACATGCCATTTTCTGTTGTTTTCATGTCGTTTTCTGTTGCCCACATCCAACCATTCGGTATCAGAGCTCAGCTTTCTCACGCTCTGTGTCAATATGCACGAGGGTAAGGTGTTGTGTTTGGCTGCACCCTCAGTGTACCTTCTCCACACGATCTGTAATGTCACAAGCTCCAGCTCCTGGCCGCCAGGTATGTTTCCGATGCTAAGACTTCCAGCATATATGAAGCGTCCATATGGCCTGGAATCACGGAAGCCCCAACAGGTCGCGTCTTGTAAAGGTCATCTTCTTCTGTTCCAGGAATCTGGAATAGATTTACGAGTCATCGGCATCAAATATTTCCGCTGTGTCACTGGTTGTAGAATTTCCAGTAAGGAAGTATTTTCAGGTAGAAAAACTAAATACACTGTCAGGGTTTTATATTGTCTATATTTAATTTATATTGTCTATTTTCGTAAGTAGTTGGGGCAACTTTTTGTAGAACATCAAACCTACTTTCACAGACCATTGTTGTGGCCTTTGAGAGTCAAAGTTTACCTTCGGGATTCCACTATTGATATCAAGATAACCTCAAGATAATAGTTTTCTTGCCTCATTAAGGTCAAGGTACTCCACCAGTGTATGGTTGAACGGCTGCTGGATTTTGACCAATTGTGCAAATCGACTTGAAAATGGTTCAGGACGGACCGAAACGTCGTCGTCCCTTCACCTTCTAGTGTGTGGTCTGGTCAACAGTTGTGCAAAGTTTCACAATTCACCTGGATTGGCCGGTACAGCCAATTGGGCTACGCTTCTCGCAAGGTTAGGGTTCGATACCCGATAGCCTAAGTGATTAGGCACCGTTCTTCCACTCCGTCCTTCTGTCCCAGACTCTATCCCGTGTGTGCTACACAGTCAGGCAAGCTTGGTGCTTTCTTACCCTATCATCAAGACTCACCGCTGTATCATTCCAGCTTATCTGTGGCAAAACTTGTGCCGTCTTCATCTACCTTCAAGAAGGTCCCGGGACGGCCATCACGACACTTGAGTAGGTACGGTGATACATTATATACGGTGCGGGGAACACGTGGTTCACCATACAAGGTAGTCCGCGGTGCAGGTTACAGCGTATGTGGTACCGTGTAACTTCGTTAAAGACCCCATGGAGCAGACCCAGTAACAAATGGTATGATGTATCCACGAGCAAGGAGGAGTGAAGCAAGGAGGGGGTAAAGCAAGGAGGGGTGAAGCAAGGAGGGGTGAAGCAAGGAGGGGGTGAAGCAAGTTGGGGTGAAGCAAGAGATTGAGGGAATACCTGTCGTGAAAAGAGAGAGATGGGGCGGGGAGAGGATGTGTAGATGGTTGATTGGGGGGGGGGGTAGGTGGGTACGGGGAATACCCACACCAAAGCGCCACAATGCGCGCACACACACACACACACACACACACACACACACACACACACACACACACACACACACACACACACACACACACACACACACACACATGTATTCAGCTTGGCTAGCACTGTACAAGAACTTCAATCCCCTGTAACTGAGTGCTCAGTAACTTAGTATACACTGTATGCTATCTAACAAACCTCTAACCCAGGGAGGACATAATACAATATATACATGCTGGTTACCATTGTATACACGAATAGACTCGTTTGTGGTAGAAAAAACATTAAATAAAAAAATCAACAACTTGGACAGAAGACTGCGGTGGTTTTAAGTTGACAAGTTAGTTCTTCTAAGTGGCAGCTGTTTCTTCTATAGTCAGTGTTCTATAGTCTTCTATAGTGTCCTATAGTCTGGTCTTCAACATACGTGTTAGCATACAAGTGTATCTATACAGAGTTGTGTCTTAGATATAGAATTTGATCCACATTTTTTTGTAAATTTACGATTTAAATATAGAGTCAGGTGGTGTGCTCCAGATTATATGTGTTTAGTGTTTGAGGAAATATATAAGTTTGACTTTATACGGACCTAACAACTTGGAAGTAACCACCTCCTCTCCCTGTGAGAGCAGTAGCAATCCTGGCTGCAATTCTAATACCATGTAGTGGCTCCGTCGATTAAGGCAGCGTCTGGGATCATCCTGGACGTAAGTTCGAACCCTCATCACGGCACTTGTGGATTTATTCACCTGCGAGTAAATAATTAACATCTTCAACAAATATATATGAAACGCGAATTCGTTGACAACGGATTACTCCTTTCTCCAAGATCAGTGATCAAGTAGGAAGTTTGTGAAGCGCGTTCGAATCCTTGCCTGGTAGTTTGGTGACGGCCTTGACCTCCCTAGTTGTATAGTTACCTGGTGACTTGTGGGGGGAGGGGCCACAACCGGTGTGGTCGTTCAGGCCACAACCGGTGCTGGGGGGGGGACTGGTCAAACCGGTTCTCCAGTGGTGGATATATCCTCTTGTGACTCAAAACTTCCACTCGTGTGAATTGAGCAAGTTTCATTTTGAAACTTTTTTTTTTTTTTTGATGGGTGGAATTTTTCCACCGACTTGAGTGGGAGATAATTTTTTCGTGGTGTGTCATTCAGATGTAGTTTGTGTGTTGTTTTTCTCTCGGTATATCTCACACACCTGGTCCATGTCACCCGTTCCTGCACACACACCTGTCTCACCACACCCGCAAAGACCTCTCAAGAGGCCTTTGTACCTCTTGGGTTCAGTTGAGAGGGGCGAGACTGAGGGCGGGCGGGACCTCGGCAATTCCCCTCCCGTCACAGTCTGATGGAACGATAATGTGTCCTTATTT